CTTCGGGATGAGAACGGACCATCGGTGGCTCCAGGACTTTTGAGATTCAGGTGAGAGAAGTTTCTAGAAGTTTTTTGGAATCTTTTTCGAAATCCAAAATTTTCAAATTACAGTGTTGGCATCGAAAACGTCGAGGATATCATTGGAGACTTGAAGCAAGCCTTGGCTCAGCTGTAGTTCTTTTTTCAGTCTTATATTTAGAAAATGATCGATTTCAGAGAATGGTCATCAGGTGTTAATATATCTTCAAGCAGATCGATTGGAATCGATTTGGGAACTACAAACTCATGTGTTGGGGTTTATCAGAATGGAAAGGTGTGTCTTGAGGGTCTCATCTTCAATTCCCCTGGTTTTCAGATCGAAATCATTGCAAATTTCGAAGGAAACCGAACCACACCATCCTATGTGGCATTCAATGAAACTGAACGACTTATTGGTGACGCTGCCAAGGATCAAGCGTCTCGTAATCCAGAAAACACAGTTTCCAACGCAAAACGTCTTATCGGACGTCGTTTCGACGATGAAACCGTCCAAGATGACATTAAGAACTGGCCATTTGTTGTGAAATCGAACGATGGAACACCTGTGATCCAAGTGCAAGTCAAAGGAGAGAACAAGGAGTTCAATGCAGAGGAGATCTCAGCGATGGTGCTTCGAAGGATGAGGAATGTTGCGGAGGCCTATCTCGGGCATGATGTCAAGGATGCAGTGATTACAGTACCCGCCTACTTCAATGATAGCCAACGCCAAGCCACCAAAGACGCGGCTACCATTGCTGGTCTAAACGCTATTCGAATCCTCAATGAGCCAACTGCCGCAGCCTTGGCTTATGGATTGGATCGAGGGATCACAGAAGAAAAGATAGTTTTGATTTTCGATTTGGGAGGTGGAACATGTGATGTATCGATTCTCTCAATCGCCGAAAAGTCTGTCTTCGAAGTTCGCTCCACCGCAGGAGATACGAAACTTGGAGGAGAGGACTTTGATTCCAGACTAGTTGAACACTTTATCACAGAATTCAAGAAAAAGGCTGGAAAAGACATTTCTGAGAATCCACGCGCCATTCGTCGTCTTCGCGACGCCTGTGAGCATGCCAAGCGCACGTTGTCTAGCAAAACCGATGC